GTGTATAATATATCAAATTGTAGTCCTTAACAAGGACAATCCGAAACCGCTTGAACCCGACCCAAATCGGAAGTGGATCTCACTCAAAATATTGCCCTAAAATTACCATTTCATGCAATTTTTAACACATTTTTTCAACAACTTTTTTGGCTGAATTGACTTAAATTATTGTGGAATACCATTTCAGCTATTTTTTCAAATCATTTTTTTTTCATTTTATTAATAATAAATGTTTTAAATATAATTTTTCATAAATCAACAGATCAGCTAATCTAGCCACTTTAATCAGAATTTCATATTATCAACAGAATCAACCGATTCAATGAATTTGAGTGTTATCAAACAGAATCATGATTCTATGATTCTAATAATATCCGGTCAAACGGAAACTCACTCATCACTCCAAGTCTCCAACAAAAGAGGCAAACACGATGGTAACTGGTAAGCCATTCGTTTCCAATCTACTCCTTATGTGATACGAAGTATTTTCCAAAAGGAGACAAGTTCAGTCGGGTCAATTCACAACGTAGTGATCCGGTCATCTAATTAAACTAGTTCACATAAAGCCTGCTATAAGTCAATCGGAACATAACAGTACCGACCAATTCGATTGAACCCAGATGGTATCTGGACCGTTAAAACCATCTCATGGAAAAGACTTTATTAAGCCTCTTTGTCAAATAAAATTTTAATCATGACTAGACGAAATAGTAGAAGAATTTTGTGGTATATTCACACGTCTCAATGTAAAAAGCAAACATGTTAATATTATTTCCAAGTTGTGTCAATCTAGTTTAGGTCAAAATTGGATTAAGTGCACCGCATGAGATTTAATATATTAGAATTGAATTGCGAGATATTTCATAGTAATAATAACTAATAACTACTACGTAATAAAATTCACAAAATTTCAAATGATGTAGACCAGAGCAAATAAGATGCGTAGTAAAACTTTCTGTTCTAAAAATCGTTCTAGGCGCCCGACTAGTCCCCGCCTAGACGCTAGGCGGTGGCCGGGCGCCCCGATTTTCGTCTAGGCGCTCCGACTAATTGGTTTGCCGTCGAGGTGAATTAGTCGGCCGCCTATGGCGCCTAGTTGCCCACCTAGGGCGCCTAATCGGCCGCCTAGGCCGTCTACATTCGCCGAACATTACTTTACTTTTTAATTTTAATTTTCCAAGCGATATACGTACTTTAACTTTAGCCATGGATATAAGGAAATAAAGTTGTAAATTAAGATAAAACTATACATGTTTGTATATATACCTAAATTTTATCATTATTTATATTCATAACGTAATGAAGTTAAGTGATTAGTTATCATATATTACGTATGATTAGATGTGATAATTCTATCTTTTATGTTTGTTGATGTATATGTATATGTGTTTCATACACACAAAAATACAATATTACTTACCATACCTATGCAAAAATATAGATAAAAATGCAATTTCTATGTCTCCGACTAGTCCCCGACTAGGCGCCCGCCTAGCCGCCTAGGCGCTAGGCGCTGGGCTGGCGCCCGACTAGCGCCTAGCGCCTTTTAGAACATTGGTAAAACTTAAGCGGCCATACGTGTTCAACATTTAAATAGATTACACTAATTTTTCAGATTAAACTTGATCATAGAGTACACATTTAAACATATAATTTTTCAGATTAAACAAAACTCACAAACCTTAAAGTCCAAAGAAAGCAGTCCAATCGAGGAAGCCCAACGAATCCAGCTACTAGGGCTAAAGCACACAGCCAAGGCTGAGGTCAATAACCAAGACCCAACATTCCAATTGGAAGCCCATTCAAGCCCAATTATTGAGTTCCATTGACAAGGCCGAGCAAACTAGCTCTCGCTTTCAACAAGGGATGGACTAGGACGGGCCGGTCCTACCCAGGACTCGGCCCTGTGCAGGCCAGATCGAGAATGGGCCGGGCTGAACCGGCTGTTTATGGGGCGGGCTAAGGGCCCTGATTTTAGTGGAGCCGACCGGGCGGGGTCGGTGCAGGCCAAATTATTTTTTTTTTTAATTTTTTTTGGCATTGGGCTGCTGCTTGGTGGGTTGGGCTGGGTGTTTTGGCGGGTTTTGGGGGTGGGGGTAGGAATAAATTCGAAAAGACTAATTCAAAAAAAAATTGACCCGACTCAGGCCCGTTCGGGCCTGGTCCCAGATCAAACCCGGGCCAGTACCGGGTCGGGCCTTCATCCCAAAACCCCAATCCCGCCCAATCCCGGTCCGACCCGGGGCCCGGTCCATGCCTACTTTCAACTCTGGATGACTTCTTTCAGACAAACTGAGCAGATTATACATGCCTTGGCTCAAGTGCAACTTCCATACTTGATCATTTGTGGGCATTCCAATCACACATTTTAGAACTTTCATAATAGTTACGCTTAATAGCATCACTATGCCCTGATTTCAAGGCTGGCATCAACACCATCATTGCTGACACCCACCAGATGTTATGCCGACGTCATCACCATGTCTATTGGATCCAGGTTCTCTGCCTTGCTTTGGCAGGCAAGGAGGGTGTCTGGCCTTTTGTAGCCATCAGATCAAAAAGCAATGGTATAATATCAGTGGGTCCATTTTTTACACAAATCTTGATGCCTGAATTTTAATCCTTGCCCTTCATTTAAGAAAGGTACCCTGCCATAAGGCAGAGGATCTCAATCCATGTTCATGACCCTTGTCATTTTCTTATCAGCTTCGATACGTTGGCTTGTTGTCCAAATTTAGACTTTTTTTTATAAATAGCATCTCCGAGTTTGTGAAAAAAGGATCTCAATTATTATTTACAGTGTTATTTTGTCACACTTATACACACTTTTTGAGTCTAGCTTTATGGTCTAACTTCTCTCTACCCAAGTTCCATAATTCAATAACCATATTTGAAAATCCCGGAGTAAATGAAGTGATCACCATTTTTTTTATCATCAACTAATCACTTGTATTAATTAATGAAATCATTAGCCAAATGGCTTACAATACAGTCTGGAGCAACATCAAAAACACTCCTGTGATCTGAGAGTAAAACATGCGCTCTAGCCAGAGAATGAGCTACACGATTCGCAGATCGTTTACAAAAAGAGACTCTATAATTACTCTTTGTTAAAAGGATTTCCTTAATATCTTCCAAAATTAAATCAATGAAGTGATCACCATTGAATATTGTTATGATATAACCAGGTGTTATCTAATTATCTAAATTGTGTAAGGCAGGTCATTCCTGCTCAAATTTTGTGTCATTAAAATGAGTTGAAATAAATGTTACCCAAAAAAGTCCACGCAACATACTTGTAATCTTTTTAACGGCAATCCTAGTTTACGTGAAAAAAGTATTTAAGAAAGATTTGGTTATATTTATTTGACATGTTCTCCCGTTTTATAACATCACCTTTCATATATCATACTTCAAAGAAAAATCAAATTCTAATTTCTTCCTATTGAAATTTGTCATGCATTAAAATGTTTTGTTGGTGAAGCAAATTTGATACTTCCTCAGCCCCAAAAATTTTGTCAAACTTTTCTTCTTTTAGTTATCCCACTAACTTTGTCGTTTTTCTTTTCAATAAAAAATTTATGATTCCAGTTAATTAATTTTCTCTCCTCCGTATAAATTTTAACCACATAATTTTTACTTAATTTATCTTTGTATCTATCAAATTTAATTTTCATCATTTTCAATGGAGCCAAAGACTCACTATATTTTTTGGCTTGGGTATATGATGGAATAAAGCACTATAGCTCACTAAACTGTCTGCGCTTCTTAGCTATGAAGTAACAGTCGGTCTATGCAATTTTCAACGCGATTTTCACTATGGGTCATTCGGAAACAACCTCCTTGTGCTTTAGTACGGGGGTAAGACTGCGTACATCCGACCCCCCCCCCCTACCCCATCGTAGGTGGGAGCCTTTGCGGCACTGGAGTGATGATGATGATGATCTATCAAATTTAAACCAAGGAAAAGGGGGAGTACGAAATTTATAAAATTGTTGGTTGTACGAATTAGTTAGTAACTTAGTATAGGTATGATTCTGAACAAAGTGAAAAGTGGGATTAGATTTAGGGAGTGTTTGTGATTGCTTGTTCTTTTTAAAAGTGATTTTTTTAAGAGATTATTGGAAAAGTGATTTGTAATAAAAGTTGATAGTGTTTGGGAATATAAGTGATTTTAATCCAAATGTAAAAGTTGGAGTGTTTGATAAAAAAAATGATTTTTGATGAAGTATTTTGTTAAAGTACAATAATGCCCCTTGTATACATAAAATATTACTAAAAAGCCTAAATCACCAGACCGTGAGCTGCAATTTCAGCCGTGAACAGAAAAGAGAGAAAGAGAATAAAGTTAGCCTTAGGTGCTTCCTTTGCTTCTTGATACGGCGGGTGCTTGAGATACCATTTTCAATTGGTGTCTGTGGCCAAAGTTTTTCTTAAAAAATGGAAGTACATGGGTTCTTTTTTCTGACATTTCACCTCCATAGATGTAATCAAGCTTAGATTTAGGTGTCATGGCTTTGAGAGAGGAAAAGGCAGAAGTCTGAAGGAGTGGGGTATGTCTTGAGAGGCCACGGAGGGGACGAAGCTTGCGAGGAACTCGTTGACCAACTTCATCGGTGATTCAAGTACAAAGGTTGTGGCCTGTGGGAACAAAGGGTAGTTCAGGGGATTAATCAAAATAATAAGGAATACAACTATCTTAAAAGTTGGATTTATTTACTAAAAACCCTAGAAGCACAAAAGAGCATGTATAACCCAGTTTGCAACTTTTAGCTTAAAGTTGCTTAAAATAAGAAGAAGCTTCAGTTTGTAAACACCATTTTTGACTTTTTAGAAGGTAAAAGTAGAAGAGTGCTTTTTTTAAGGATGGGCAAACACTGCCCTAGAAGGACGGCATAATTACATTAGTAGTAAACAGCTAGGAAACAGGGAGGTAAGGTGAAATAATTAGCTGGTGACGAGGCAACTATAAAAACGGACTCACTCCCGCTTCTTCTTCCCATCTTTGCCAACTCAAATATTCGTCCTTCAATTCTCTCTCACATAAACCAAAATCTCTGCGCATTGGATCTCCTACCCTACTCTCTTCGAATCCATAATGGAAAATCCAGTTCGTTGCTCCGTAATCATCGTCGGCGCTGGAATTTCAGGTCGCGAATCAGACCTTAATATCTGTAATGTTTTATATTCCGTGAATCAGAAGCTCGAAGTTACTCAATTTCGCATGTTTGCAGGCATTACGGCGGCGAAAGTCCTGGCGCTGAATGGGGTGGAGGACGTGCTGATACTCGAAGCGGCGGACAGGATTGGAGGTAGAATAAGGAAGGAGGATTTCTGCGGAGTTACGGTGGAGCTCGGTGCCGGATGGGTTGCCGGCGTCGGCGGCAAGCAATCCAATCCCGTCTGGGAGCTCGCCCGCCAGTGCGACCTCCGAACCTGCTTCTCCGACTACAGCTGCGCCCGTTACAACATCTACGACCGCAGGTGCGTGAGTTCACGCTCCACCGCTCATTCATCCTCTCTCATGAAAGGATGGGCGTGATTATCGGACTTCTAGTTATGCTGTTTACGAATTCTACGCCACGATTTTACTAATTTAGTGATTTGTGAAAGATTTTCCCGCTCACAAATTGGTGGTCAGTAGGGGTCGTGTTCTGCAAGTTCGCTTAACTGCTACACAGCGATATATATCTGTTTTTAGTTTGTTTCTTTCCGATTCAAATTCTTCATTTAATTTGCAGTGGAAAGATATTTCCGAGTGAAATTGCTGCTGACTCGTACCAGAAAGCTGTCGATTCAGCGGTCCAAAAGCTAACGAGGCATCAGGTCAACCCCGACTCCGTGAATTCCGAAGTCGCAAATATATCTGAATCGTAAGCGTATACGTAAATTTCTGTTTTATCATTATCCATCTCGCCATTTTCGTGATTGTAAGAGAATATTTAGTGTCGGGCAACTTTTGATTAATAATGACTATAAGGAAGGTGCTAACAGTTTGATAAAAATTTGACTATTAGAATTAGTTTAGCGGGGTGTTTGGAACTGATTCTGGTTTTAGTTCTTTTTTAAATCAGAAGCAGAATCAATTTTCAGAAACTGGTCTCTCCAGCTTCTAAAAAACTGATTTTGTGTGTAAATTAGAGCACCAGAATCTTCACTCAAACACTCCAACTCCTGTTTCTGATCCCTGAAGGAGCAGCAGCAGTTTTAAGAATCAGATGATCAGATCCAAACACTTGTATCACTCTGTATGTAAGCTTTTGTGAGTTTTTCAAAAAAATTACTCTCTCCGTCCCTGATTGTTCTTCCAAATTAAAGTGGCACGGTGATTAAGAAAGTGGGAATTGTGTGGTGGAGAGTTGTGCAGAGGAGTGAGAAATGCACTGAACCACAAATTCTTTGCCAAAAAGGGAAAATGAGGTTCTTTTTTGGATGGACGAAAAGGGAAAGTTGGAAGTAAATTCAGGGATAGAGGGAGTAATTTTTAATGATTGGAAATATTTTAAACGAAAAAGAGTGTACTTCCTAATTATTTGATAAAACATACTGTTTGATTTAATTTTATTTGGTATAAGTTGTTATGGTATAAGTTCCGTGTAGCTTCTAAAAAATCTTTTATTTTTTAAAAAACTATTAAATATTTTTATGTGAAACATATAACTACAAATTTGTAGATATTTTTAAATAGTACAAAAATTAAAAGATATGAACTTATACTCAGCAAACATTCACTTAATGCTAAATTCTACGAACTTTATCTCAAAGTATAATTTCGTAAAACACATCCTTATTTTGAAAAAACTCTTAAAAATTGTAATGTCAAACATACAATTAGAAACTTTTAGATCTTTTTGAATAATACAAAAACTCAAAGTTTGGAATTTATGTTTACCAAACATGCACTAACACCATTCTTGTAACTTATAAATCATTCTCTCAAAAACTTTATTACTACTCCTTTTAGACCCCGTTTAGTAACACTGAAATCGGCTGATTTTGCTGAAATTTATGGAGTTCTGACTGCAGTGACTCTATTGACTGATTCTGCTGATTTATGAAAAAATTATTTAAAATAATTTCTCTTCGTCCCTTAAAACTTTGTCAACTTTCATTTTTTGGATGTCCCACTAACTTTGTCACTTTCCCTTTTAAGTAAAGAATTTGTGGTTCCAGTTAATTTTCTCTCCTCTGCACAAGTCTCAACCACACAGATTTTACTTTATTAATCCCCATGACGGTCAAATTTGGCAAAGTTTTAAGGGACGGAGGTAGTATTTTATTAATAAAATAGAGAAAAAATTATATGAAAAGTAGTTAAAATGGACTTCTACAGTAACTTCAGTCAATACAGTCAGAAAAGTAACTTGAACTTTACTTTTTCTTTTTATTACACAAATTAGCACGGGAAATCAAAAGTTACATATTTAATTTAAAATCTATTTAATTTAAAATTAAAGTTGGTTGCAACCAACATAGTTACATGAGGGGCTCTTAATCAATATACCAAATAATTTATTTTCATTTTTTATTTGTTTCTCAATGGATTTATTGGGTTTTGTTTTCAGTATTCCAAGCACACCGATTGAGTTGGCGATAGACTTCATCCTCCACGACTTCGAGATGGCAGGTCAACAGTATAACTTCATTTAATTAATTAATTAAATGATTAATTATACCGTGGGATCGTTACACCCTGTGCACTCCTTCTCTAACAAAATATTAAGATTTTAATTATATTTTTATTTTTCTTTATCTTCACCTTAAATAACAATTAATCTCTTTTTTATTCTTTACCATTTCATAACAAATAATTTATATTTTAAAAAAAAAATATGAATGTAAATAAAATAAGTATATTGCATTCATATTCATACACTATTTATTTTCTACTCCCTCCGGTTTTTAATAAACTTCACACTTTCCTTTTTGGGACGGTCTAAAATAAACTTCACACTTCCTTATTTCCTTTTTTGGCAAAGAAATCTACATCAAAACAGTGCCAAACAGTGCCAAACAGTGTCTCAACAGTGCCAAACAGTGTCTCTACAGTGCCAAACAGTGTCAAACAGTGCCTCAACAGTGTACTCTACAGTAAAGTCAAATTTTTTTTCTTATTTTGTGTGAAGTCAAACTGTGAAGATTAAAAAAAACCGGAGGTAGTATAATATATTTTATATTCATACATTTTTTAATATAATTTTTCATATTCATAAACATTTTTCCTAAAATAAATTTTTGTATTCTTACACTTCTCTGTATTTGATAAATTATATCTTCATATTAATTCACTTTTTTCGATTTACATTTGATAAATTATGATATTACATGTATAAATGATTCTTAGAGCTACATTTGATATTATATAGAGTTACATTTTTTTATACACAAGTTACATCTTCTTATGCACGAGTTACATCTTCTTATTCGTGAGTTACATCTTATTATATGTGAGCTACATCTTCCTATGGGAGCGTTACATTTGGATTTGCTTCAACATGTTACATTTTGCATACACCTAAGTTAGATTCTTTATCAACTCGAGTTACATTTTTGCATAACGCGAGTTACATCACAAAATAAACTCCAACTATTGAAACAAAAAAAATGATTTTTTGGAAAAAAAAAACTGATTTTTTGGTTAAAAAAATTATTTTTCTTTGAAACATTTTATGGCCTTAATACTAAAAACAAAACATATTAACTATTTACGTAAATTAATTTGAGCAATTAGACTCCTTGTCTTCATTAATTAGCTTTGATAGTATATGGAGTTACATCTTCATATACTCGAGTTACATCTTTTTTTATGGGTGAATTACATCTTCATACACGCGAGTTGCATTTAAACTTGTCTTAACAAGTTACATATTGTATACACCTAAGGTAAATTTTTCATCAACGCGAGTTAAGTTTTCCATCACAACATAAAGCCCTACTATTGAAACAAAAGAATCGTTTTTTTTTTTCAAAGATTTTTTTTTGGCAAAAAATGATTGTTTTGACAAAAAAAAGTGATTTAAAAAAAAATATGACCTTAATATTAAAAAACACATCATATTCATTATTTAAGTAAACTCCTGCTATTGAAACAAACAAAAAATCACTTTTTGCAAAAGAAAAATGATTTTTTTGCGAAAAAATGATTTTTTGGCCAAAAAAATTGTGATTTTAAAGAAAAAATATTACTTACGGCATTAATATTAAAAAAAACATATCCAATATTTACGTAAATTAATTGAGCAATTAGACTCTTTGTTTCATTAAAATCAATGTTTTATTTCTTATAATCCGTATTAAACAAGTTACATTTTGACTTGCCTGCAGTTACATTTCTTATTAATGAGAGTTACATTGTTTTACACACGAGTTACATCAATCTGTTACTATACAATGAAAAAAACAAAAATAGAAGTTATTGTTCACCCGTGTGAATAGTAACACGCGTTTTTGTGTACGTGGGAGCAGCATGCTCACGGTGGGCAGCTCCCACGGTATACGAACTCATTTAATTAATTAATCCTCTTAAATTAAAAGTTCTACGCTCCAGACCACATCAATTTCGAGTGTTGCGCACATCAGTTTTGTTCATGTATGCCCTCCAAATGTATGTATTGGCTATTGAGAGAGCATGTTCACATGTCAAAATGAATGTCTTAGTTTCTATTTTTGGCAAATCTCAACCACAACTTTTATTTTTCAATCACTTAATTAATAATCGTGCCAAATTGAAAGTGGACAACCAATATGGGACGGAGGCAGGGACGGATCTAGGGGGGGGGGGGGGGGGGAGGGGGCGATCGCCCCCCTTGGACTTTCAAAAATTTCTACTATATATGTAATATTTTCGTAAATTTTCATAGTTTAATTAGATTTGCCCCCCTTAACTTTTAGTTTTCGAAATTAATATAGTTTTACATAGCATCTAAAATAATTTATATAACTTAAATAAATAATCAATATAACAACTAAATGTTTAAGATTTAGGATAGTTATTATATAAAAAATTTTAGTTTTGTAATGTTAATTATCTTTATTAGATAACTAGTACTCGATTTTGTAAAATATACTCCCTCCGGTTTTTAATAAACTTCACACTTTCCTTTTTGGGACGGTCTAAAATAAACTTCACACTTCCTTATTTCCTTTTTTGGCAAAGAAATCTACATCAAAACAGTGCCAAACAGTGCCAAACAGTGTCTCAACAGTGCCAAACAGTGTCTCTACAGTGCCAAACAGTGTCAAACAGTGCCTCAACAGTGTACTCTACAGTAAAGTCAAATTTCTTTCCTTATTTTGTGTGAAGTCAAACTGTGAAGATTAAAAAAAACCGGAGGTAGTATATCAAAAGATATTAAATACCAAAAACACTAGTTACACATTTTTAGATCATGTGAACTGAATCCAACATACGAATGTTTATTGACATTAAATTACACAATTCAATCATTTACATCTTACATTCTAAAAATACTTTACTGCATAGATAATAAACTTTAACTTATTTTAGCATTAATACAAATATAATTAATATGCACTATATATTTGAACTAGCAATATAATATTATTCTAAAAATAATAAACGCATACGTACTATTGTAATATTAAGAAAACTTCTCGTAACTCATTAACACCCTCCTTTGTAGACAAAAATTGTAATTCAAAAACCAATTCTTTATTTTTATAACACTCGTCTAGTTAAACAATGTAGAAGTTATTTCAAAAGTATTGGTGAATATGTACCTGTTAAACTCTTTATCTTCAAATAAAATGTTATGTATCCTTTGTATTTTAAAATTATTTTCCTTTGATTTGTTATTTCTTACGCTTTAATGTATCAATACTTTTTCTGAAGCACTTAAATTACAAAATTAATTAAAGTGTTTTGTCATTGTCAAACTTAGAATGTAATATATAGATTTAACTGTCGCCGGGTATGTATTAATGAATTGTTTTTGAATAAAAATAGCCGCATAATCTTACACTAGTGGAAAAAATTCGCACCGCTACACTAGTAACAAAAACTCGCCCTGCTACACTAGTGATTTTTTTACCCCGACACTAATTAAAATGTTCGCCCCCCTTGACTCGAAATCCTGGATCCGTCCCTGGACAGAGTATTACTCCCTCCGTCCTGCTAAAATTGTCCCATTTTACCCTTTCGGAAAGTCCCACTAAGATTGTCCCATACCAAATTTGGTAAAGATTGTGTGGCTCTAAATCATTCTTGCTCTATTCTTACTTTATCAATTTAATACTCCCTCCGTAACTTAAAAATCTTCTCACTTTCCTTTTTCGTCCGTAACAAAAAAATCTTCTCATTTCTAAATCTTCTCATCATATCATCAATAATTCTTAAAATAATACACTATTACAACTACTTTTTTTGGATTTATCATACATTCCACCATATTATTCCATCATTTTCCCATCATACCCTCAATAATTCATATCATCTTTCACTATTCTTAATCTACCTACTTTTGAAATGGAAAGATTTTAAAGTTACGGAGGGAATATCAATTACACAAACTCACTTTTCTTAATAATCGTGTCACCTTCTCTCGTCCCAATCTTAGTGGAACGGATGTAGTACGTAGCATTAATTAAAATCACTTAACACGTTAGAGTTTGAAATTGCAGAAGTTGAACCTATACCAACGTACGTAGATTTTGGAGAAAGAGAATATCTGGTGGCAGATGAAAGGGGATATGAGCATTTACTCCATGAAATTGCAGCAACCTTCCTTTCTACATCAGATGGAAAAATTGTGGACACCCGCCTCAAACTTAACACGGTAAATATAAGAAAGCAGCTCATACATACGATGTACTCCGTACTTCATAATTTCATTTCTATTTTGTTTATGCTACTATACAAGTGACTCTATGGACACTTTCATGGAGTCAAATGGACTATGTTTGTCCCGGACTCAGGAAGTTTATCTGGGGAGGACGGAACTTAAAAAAAAAAAAAAATTTTGGGAGGGTGAAAATTATTTTTGTTGGAGGGGCCACTGCCCCCCTGGGTCTCTACTACGGTCCGCCCCTGTCCCTTTATGAGCCCATTTGGTAGCATGATAATCGGCTGATTTGGCTGATTCTGTTGAAATTTATGATGTTCTGGCTGAAGTAGCTACATTAGTTGGTTCTGCTAATTTAAGAAAAAATTATTTTTAAAATATATTTTATTAATAAAATAAATAAAAAAATATGTGTAAAAATAGCTACAATGGTCATCTACAGTAACTTCAGCCAATACAGCCAGAAAAGTAACTTCAACCTTACTTATTCTGCTTATTACATAATTCAGCGCGCGAAAGCAAATATTACGTGTTTGGTGAAAAAGTTAGCTGATAAGCCGAAAAACTGTGTTGCCAAATGGCCTCTATAATGGTTTATCTTTAAAAGAAATTGGTTAGGACTAAAATATACGGAGTAGAATATTTTAAAACAAGAATAGGACTTCATTCACACTAACATAGATTGAATTAATTACTCTAACCAAAGATTAAATTAATTCCACCCAATAGAAATGTGATAGGAAGGGGAGGACTTTTTTCAACAACTTTCTATTCAGTGTGGGTCCGTGTATCCCCTAAGAATGGTACATAGAGTTGATACAGATGGACTTTCACCGCTCCTCTGATTTCGATATGCAAATAAAGGGATACAAGTCATACAACTCCGGTTTACTCAAGGCATAACTAACGTATGGTATGAGTCTGGAGACCGGAATGTCTAGACCAACTTTTAGTTGACTGATGGTAAATGTTTAGAACAAGAAAAATTCCTAATCTACATACGGAGTATTTTTTTTTTTTTGCAAATTACATACGGAGTATTATTCATATAAGTTTGGGAAAAAAAGTATATTTGTTATCATATTTAATCTTGTAACTTCAATTACTCCCTCCGGTTCTTAATGAACTTGTACTTTGACTTCACACATATTAAGGAAATAAATTTGACTTTAATGTACAGTACAATGTTTGTCATTGTTTGGCACTGTTTTGCACTGTTTTTTGTAGATTTGTGAGACAAATAAGGAAGTGTAAAATTTAATATGATACTTCCAAAAAAGGAAAGTGTAAAGTTTATTAAGAATCGGATGGAGTATTTACAAATTTTGTCTTGTAACTAATAAACTTTTGTAATTTAAGAACTTTTCAAAAAGAACACTTTCCTGCAGAAAAGTCTGACGCTGGCAACATCTTTTTCGGTATACTATCGTCGGAAAATGTACTTTTCAGGGGGGAAGCCCTTAAATCGCAAATATTAATTAGTTACAGGACTAAAATTGCAAGAGACTAAAATTGTGAAACTAATAATGAAAACGACTAAAAATTACGGGATGAAAGTTACAAATTTCCCTATAAGTTACAAGCAGTTTTTTAGAAGTTGAATGAGACAAAATTATGAAAAACTTATTCTACTTTTGAATCTGTTTTTAAAAAAAGAAGCATAAGCAAAATTTATTCCAAACATGTTGCATCATTCTTCTCTTGTTTAAAATTAGATTTGTATCATTGTGCGAATCATGGATAAGGCCAACCCATGCATGTTTGTGAAATTGTGGCATTGATAATCAACAAAATTCTACAGACAAAACAAGTCAGTTTTTGTCTGTCGATTGGGAATGTACTGACGTGTATAAGAACCCGTACAAAAGGAATTTTTCAATGGGGATTGCAGGTTGTTCGAGAAGTGCAGCAGCATACTAGGAATGATGTTTCAGTGACCACAGAGGATGGGATCGTGTACAAAGCCAGTTACATTGTTTTGTCTGTAAGCATTGGCGTCCTCCAAAGCAATCTTATTTCCTTCACACCGCCTTTGCCTGTACGTCTCTCCCTGCATATACAAATAATTGCACTCTTTCCTTCACAATGCTCCGGAAGTATTCTACTCCCTCCTTTCCTTCCGGCTAAATATTGTCAATGATACAGTTTCTCAAAACTTTATACGTAGTATTAAAAAACTTAATTTGAATTTGTTGATGTTAATACATTCGCACTCCGAGAGTCTAACACGCTCTCTTGGGTTTCATCGGTTTGTATGTATTTCATTATGAAATAAACCAAACAAGAAAGAAGGTAAAGTGCACATGGTTCATATTCAATGAATAGCATACTTACAATATACCCATACCAAAGTCCGAGTCTCTAATTTCTAAACAAAATTATGTGACACTGAGATAGTAGAGTGAGACTAAGCTATTGAATGCAAGATTGCTAACACTTTGCAAATATACGGTAGCCCCAATCATAAAATCATCATATTAAGAGTATCAAATGTTCTTCTCGCCGATTTCTAGATTTCCCGCCAAGGTATTGGTAGCGTAGACTCTGTGGCAGGCTAATACAAGTGTCGATCTTGTTCAGGACACTCGATCTTGGACGAGTAATAGGTCCGGTCAAGATACGTTGCTCGATCGATATGGCCCTCGTCCCGAGCGCAATAACCCGATCCTTAAGCCGGTTGGGCCCGTTGTGATATTTAGGCCGGCCTCGTACTCGGCCTGATACCCGAACAGAATTTTATAAAAATATTCAAAATTAGAGCAAAGAGAAATTTGGGGTGTTTGGTAAACAGCGTTTCAACCGAAAAAATGTTGTTTGACCACGTTTAACGTTTTCTATAAGTGAAAAAGTTATTTGGTAAATAGTTATTCGGCACTAGCGTTTTGGAAGGAAACGTCGAAATGAAAATGTTGCTAATAACAGAGTTTTGGATTGAGAATTTGAAAAATGACCTTTTTCCACTAATTTTATGGTCAAACAATCAAATTATCAAATATCTTCTGACAATCCTAACTGTTTGAATGCCACACATGCCCATTATATTGATCGTGGGAATTGACAAAATTGAGTGAGCTGGGGTATTAAATGGAAGCCAGACGGCGAGCCGATTAGTATTTTATGGTAAATTGATTGAGAAGAGTGTACCCCACTTGATGTTTATGGGAAACAATTGCTCTTTAGCTCCACCCTCCATTTGAACTGTATGTCTTGAAAACTAACCCTCATGAACAGAGTAGTCTGGTACACTGGACTGTATAATACGGAGTACTACGTACGGAGTACTATATATACCTGGTCAACTAAGAATAGTATAGGTATGGTTAGATTCTTTCCTAGGGCTAGTAAATTATTGATGACAGCCTGGTTGGAGTTTGACAACCATCTACCACATTCTTATTGAATATTGATAAAATAAAATGATAAAGCTATGACTTACGGAGTACTTTTTATTTTGAAGTTTCTAAACTTGAACTAAAAGAAGAATAAAGCTGGGCGTAAGGAATGTGGTGTATCACTCTTCACTCCAGTGTATCTTTATCTCTTTGCCATGGTCCATGAGTTAAATATCTGAAACTGTCATTTGTATCAACTTTTTAATTTTTATACCTGATCTAACTTTACATACAAATGTTATTGCAACTATTTTGACATATATATACCCAAAAAAGTACAACTTTTAGAGTTTTAGGTAGACCAAGCATTATTGTTAAATACGTAGTATGTCATTTGCTCATTAACGGGAAACAAGTAAAATTTTCATGTTTTCTCAACTCATTTTGTGTCTCATTTCCCGCATCTAGACGTACTCTAAACAAGTAGAGAAACATAAATCTAGTTATGATATGCCAAGTACGAACGAACAATACCCCGAGCTACTCTAGTTTATTTGTAGTCAGATTATGTGGGTGTTTGGATCTACTTCTGAAAGAAAATTGCTTCTGCTCTTTCATGGAGTAGAAGCCAGAAGCAAATATTGGAGTGTTTGGGTTTAAGTGCATAAATGCTCTAAATTGCTCTTAGAAAAAGTTTTTTAGCAACTAGGAAAGACCAGCTTCTCAAAAACAGATTTAAAATATACTTCTACTTTTAAAAAAGAACTAGAAGCAAAATCAATTCCAAAGAGTAGTTTTCTTCATCTCGAAAGCTCACATTAAGTACACCAACCTAAGAATAACCTGTGCACTATCAAATTGTATGTAACAGACGTGGAAAACGGAAGCATTCCAAAACTGTGACATCATGGTTTACACCAAGATCTTTCTCAAATTTCCGTACAGGTTCTGGCCATGTGGACCCGGGAAGGAGTTCTTCATCTATGCCCACGAACGAAGAGGCTACTATACGTTTTGGCAGGTTTCACCTATTCATCACTTTTGATTAAAGTAGTACTCCCCTATTAAATACTCTCTTCGTTTCACAAAGAAAGTCACGATTTGACTTCTCTAGGATTAAGGAAATAAATTGACTTTATTGTACAAAACACTGTTTAGACACTGTTTGACACTATTTGGCACTGTTTTGAAATAGATTTCTTTGCTAAATAAGGAAATAAAGGAAGTGTGACTTTGTTTTTGAAACATCCAAAAAAAGAAAGTGTGACTTTGTTTGCGAAACGGAAAAAGTAAATTGGATCAAATTAGCCTTCAATAGACATTAGGCATTCACCCCCAAATTAGACTTTAAACTCTAAAGTCCTTTAAAAATAGTGTGTTTGCTTTTTAACCATATCGGTTGAGAGATAGATTTTTTGGCCGACATTCGTGTCCACAGGTCGCCCGCCCACGCAAGTCGCGGTTTTTCTTCTCCAAATTTGGGATGTGATTTGCACCCCTGCGCGCATGGAGAGAGCCTTTACCCTTAGGAATCTTAACTCCTTAAAGGGAGAGTCCCTTTATAAAGGGTTGCAAATCCCTTGGGTTTTCCGGTGTGGGAAATAACACACTAGAAACTCATCCTTTTTTCCAGTTTTCTCATTTTTAACGGGTAAACTTCGAGAATAAATTTCTCATTCATCCGTTATCCATTTTGAGCGTACCATATATCGCATTGTAGCCCTTAACAAGGACAATCCGAAACCACTTTGACCCGACCCAAATCAGAAGTGGAACCCACTCAAAAAATTGCCCCAAAATGACCATTTAATACAATTTTCAACACATTTTTCCAACATATGGAGTATAAGGTAGGATGATCATGGACATTATTCGGAAAAAATAACACGGACTGTTGTTTCTCAATTGAGCCGACCACTCTTCTAAAAAAAAGGAGCCGACCAGTGGCATGACGTGATCATTGTATTCTTAAATACTCCATAGTTGGTTAGTACTGTTGTACTATGGACTACACTTTAGACTTTAGAGTACGGGAAAAAAAAAAGCTAACACACTATTTTTTTTAGACTTTAGAGTACAGAGTTATTAATTGAACTACCAAACTTTACAACTCTCAAACTATCTATTACTACCTCCGTTCCACTATGTTTGGGACAATTCGGTTTACAATGTTTGAGCGACGATAAAGCAAACAGATCCATGTTCGCACTCAAATTATTTTTAGGGGAAAAAAATTAGATATTCAGAAATTACATTAAAAACTTTACAAAGTCGCAAAAACCAGAATCAAATTTGATAAAAATTTGATATATAAAGTAGGAGATTAAGAGTGTTTTGTGTTGATCAAGTGAATAGTATCTGGGACAATCTTAGCGGGACGGAGGGAGTACATAGTATAACTATTTACTACCTCCGTCCTTCGTACTAGTTTGACTTCACATATATTAAGGAAATGAATTTGACTTTACATCGTAGCGACACTGTTTGACACTGTAGCGACACTGTTTGACACTGTTTGATAAAGATTTGTTTGTCAAATAAGGAAAGAAAAAAGTAGGACAAACATTTTGAGACATCCATTTTGGGAAAGTAGGACAAACATTTAGGGACGGAGGGAGTATATCTTAATTTCAACTTTTCGATGTATTAAAAAAATAGTGGGCCCAAAATAGCCCCTACCTCTGGGTGGCCTAAAAAATTACAGTACTACGTATTACCTCTGTAACGTAAATATCTTCCCACTTTCCTTTTTTGGACGTAACACTAATATCTTCCCATTTCTAAATCTTCCCATCATACCCTCAATAATTTTAAAAATAATACACTATTACACCTACTTTTTTTGGATTTATCCTTCATTCCATCACATTATTTCACTATCTTCCCATCATACCCCTAATAATACATATCTCCTTTCACTATTCTTAATCTACCTACTTTTCAAATGGGAACATCCCAATGTTACGGATAGTCCTGGACTCGGGCCGGTTCGGGCCCGGTTCGGGCCTGGGCCCGGCCGGGCCTCGGGCCAGGAAAGGGAGGCCCGAGCCCGAACCGCCGGTGGCCGGTTCCGGTCCCGGTTCCGGGCCAAACCGGGCCGGGCCGAACCGGCCCAATAATTTTTTTTTTTTTTTTTTGTTCTATTTAATCCCCTACCCCTCCCCCTCAACCCCAAACTATCCCAAACCACCTCAAATGGCCCAAAATACCTAATCCAACCTAAAACTTAAAAAAATTTCAAAAAAAAAAAAATTAAAATCCGGCCCGGACCGGGCCCGAACCGGCCGGGCCGGTTCACCAAAACCTGGGCCCGGGCCCGAACCGCCCAGCAGCCGGGCCGGGCCGAACCGAACCGAGGGACCCACCGGGCCCCGGGCCGGGCCGGGCCAAATAGTAACCGGGCCGGGCCGGTTCCGGGCCGGGCCGCCCGGCCCGAGTCCAGCACTAGTTACGGAGGTAGTAGTACTCTCTTCTCTCATGAAATTTGATCAAATTTGTGGAGTAGTATTTATTACTCTATATAGATGTGACCAATTTTTAAGGGGTGGAGCTAATATGTGTTGGCAAAGTCAATCGGGATGAAAGTAATACGTAGTATGTCGGTTGTAGCTTTTCATCTTTCTTTTCGCCTGAACTGTCTATTGAGGCCCATATGTGTGTTCTTTTGGCTGGTATCCAACTTTTCTGCCTCTCCTGGCTGAATGTGGCTTAAAACCTTAGCACCCTTAACTCCTTAAGTACCACTAACCCCCAAAAAAATAAAGAGCCTCATATGATATGTAATCATATGTCTAAAGGTGGTAACATCATTGTCAATCATTTTTGAGTGGAGACCCCATTAAAAAAAATTGAGTGGTTACAGTGATGTCAACTTAACTCATACTCGGTCATGAGTTTAGGAGCTCGTTTGGCAACACTGTTTTTCCGCTCATCAGTCAACTTTTTCACCAAACACGCAATTTTTGCTTTCGCGCGCTGGATTGTGTAATAAGCAGAAAAAGCAAGATTAAAGTTACTTTTCTGACTATATTGATTGAAGTTACCGTAAATGACTATTTTAGTTATTTTTACTTTAACTTTTTCTTTATTTTATTTATATAATACGGAGTATATTTTTAACATAATTTCTTCTTAAATCAGTCAATACAGCCACTTCAGCCAGAACTTTATAAATTTCAGTAGAATCGGCCGATTTTCGTCCTATCAAACGGGCTCTAGGAATGGTTTCAACTCTCAAGGCCTCTCCATGAGTTTTTTATTAATATAAAAAAAATGGTTTCTTGTTTTAATATGATGTTGGCAACATATGAATATAGAGACTTCTATCCAAAGACTAGAACCCTTGTCATCAAAAGATTTCTCAAAGGAGGGCCGAAGATCACATTGGAACTAAAGAGGCAATAGATCTCCTGTGATTATTAATTTATTGTTGTAATATTGTATATTTGCAACTTATTTTGGAACCAATTTTATGTTTTGTTTGTCTTTGTCCTTTAGTGATTCGGACAATGGACAATGCATCACTCATTTAGACTCTATCTTTGAACAGCACATGGACAATGCATACCCAGGATCCAATATTCTGGTGGTGACTCTCACAAATGAAGAATCAAAACGCGTGGAAGCCCAAACTGATGGAGAAACTTTGAAGGAAGCAATGGATGTACTGAGGAACATGTTTGGGGAACACATTCCTACTGCAATTGACATAGTCGTCCCACGTTGGTGGAATAACAGGTTCCAGCGTGGCAGCTACAGTAATTACCCCATCTACGGCAATCACCAACTTGTACACAATTTGAAGGTACTTAGTTCATAATTAGGAGCTATATCGCTATATTATCGTGGTTGTCGTCATCCTCATTGTTTTAATTAATCCCAAAAGCAATTATCAAAAAAGGTGTTATTGTTCTCCAGGCACCTGTTGGAAGAGTGTTTTTCACAGGAGAGCACACCAATGAAAAATTTAATGGATATGTCCATGGAGGTTATTTTTCAGGTTAGTTTGTTGAAGAATTTCACGCACCGGTAAAATATGAACTATCAAACTATTATGTTAGATTTGAGTTATTCTTATTGATTGACCATGGAACCTCAGTCTTGATATTAGAATCAAATTCAATTGTGGTTTGATTGTATAAAAAACATGATTAAGGGTAGCTCATTACGAGAATTGGTAATACATTTATATACCATATTTGTGTAGTTCGATTTGGATCGAGATGCGTGTTGGAGTACTTCGCAGACAAATAAAATAGGAACTCATAAAGTATACCAATGCTAATCATATTGACCTGTTTATGATGAAATCCAATATTAAAACAGTTTTATCCAATATCATTTCAAGTTTTATACTTGAAATGCTTTGACACACACACACACATACTGATATACTCAATGAATGATAGCTTTAATTTGTTGGTGATTGAGCAGGTATAGACACATGCAAAGCTCTTCTTGAAGAGATGAGAAAGGAAGAGGGAAAAGGGGGAGAGTCACAAAACTTATTATTACTTGACCCTTTGGTTGCATTAACGGTGACAGAAGCAGATGATGTTTCGGGTCTCCACAAGTGTGATATCCCCAGGCGGGAGCTATTCCTTGGTTCCACCAAACATGCACTTCCAGAGGCCATCTTATGACTAAGAAAGGATGACCCAACTTTAGTTGATACTCCTCTAATTAGTTTCTCATTCATGAGAGATCTGAGCGGGACATCGCCACATCGGTGAACAATGAATGGCAGGCCAGGCTACACCAAGTGTGAATATTACAAGAGGAACATTCATAAAACACATTCAGTTCTTTGGGTAACAACACCTGCAATGTACGTTGTGTGTCGCGTAAGAATGCTTCCATGCCATGCTTTTGTTCTTCTGAGGAGCCCAATCATTCACCAATGAAATATCTGTAATTGATGAATATTTTTACTTTTTGTCACAGTTGTTTATTTCTCTTTTTTAATTCCATACTTTCCCCAACTGAAAATTCTAACTGCTATATCTTTTCTTTCAAATAATGAATTACAAAGACAATGTATGTAGTTATGTACTACTATTGTGAATTACAGTGAGATCTAATCTGGGTATGTAGTTATGCATTCAAGTGCATGTGAATTATTCATCATCTTTGTAATAATGGCAACACAATTGGAAGAATTTGATTATGCATTTCATTTTTCGGGCGATATTTGATTTTGCGACCTATTATCAAAATTATTAATGTGTGTAGCTCATTTCAGTATAAAATTATTTAACTTTGCAACTTATTTTTTCTTAATTTTTAGGCTGATGGACCGCATACCTTAATAATATTGAAATGTGATAAATATAGAATGCAGTCAAGTTCCCCCAACACAAAATGTCGATGCATGGCCTCCACTACCCGTACTCGCACTGCTTACATTAATTTGGTCACTTGGATAGTGTTCACATACAAGTCGAATTGTTCACCACTTCACCTTATTTTTATTTTTTACTCACTTACTCTTGTTATTGTCATATCATGTTAAATTACATGAATTTAAATCAGCTAAAAGAGTATACACACATATCAAATCAAATTAAAAAGGTTCACATCTTAACAGAAATAGTTCATATTATTAAAAACATTTGATATTTAAAAAAAAATGTTTGTATCACTTAAAAACATTCAAATCAAAGCAAAAGTATTTAGATTAAATTATAAACTTGTACTAAATTTATTGTCTTTACCAAAATTATTATCATCATCGTCAGTCATTTTGTGAACACTGTTTTATAATTAGAGTTATAATTGCCCCATTTTTACATAACTTATAGCCAATACAATATGCCGCTTGTCATTGTTTTTTATTGTAATATTGTTACGTAGTACTAGTATTATTTTGTGAACAACATTCAGTTTTTATTACTGTGAGTCTGTGAGCTAGTAAACATTGTTTTAGGGCTGGGACCGGTTCGGTTCCTAGGCAAAATATGTGGAATCGTTTGAAAATATGAAATTTTACTAACGGTTCGGTTCTTATAAATTATTTTAAAGAACCGATAAGGAACCGAACCGTTCTTAACGGTTCGGTTCTTGTCATTTAACGGTTCCTAGTCTTTGAAAAAATTCTTACAAATCACGACTAAATTTTTGCCAAAAAGATATTCAACGTTGGAAATCTCAATACATATATGATGAACCAGTTAAAGAGAATAATAATTTTAAATACTATGGACCTTCCGAGTTCCGACCAGCTGGAGTTTGGACCTAATGAGAGGCCTAAGAAGCCTAAGAGAACTGTTTTTTTTTGTAATAGCCTAAGAGAACTGGTTGAAATAAATAATAGTTTTAAATAGTTAAATAACTAAACTAAAATAATGAATATAATATAAAAATAAATAAGTAAATATACATTACAATATATATATTCATAAAAATATATTTAATTTTAATTATTATATATAACGGTTCCTTAACGGTTCCTGGTACATATTTTTTTCAGGAACCGAGAATCGAACCGTTAATAAAAATCAGGAACCGAACCGTTAACAAATAACTAATAAATGTTGGAACCGAACCGAACCGGGTCATAACGGTTCGGTCCGGTTCGGTTCTCCGGTTCTTGGTTCCAAAGTCCCAGCCCTACATTGTTTGTTGCTTTATATTAGTAAGGTATAATTCTTATGAATAATCCCCTTTTTGGGGTTCTATAATAATAATCCATACTTGAAATACTGTAAAAAATAATCTCAACTCATTATGATGTCCCCAAAAATAGATCAAATGTAACTTCCGTTTGCTATTCGCCCAGACCTTCCGTTTGTCCATTAACTTTCATTTAGTTCATTAAATAATCTTGTCTCCTTATCTAATAATCTAATACTATCGTAATTTTTACTCTCAAATTTATATACGTAGTATATAATGCACTTCACAAAAATGCACTTCAATTATTTTCTTGTGCATATGGATCTGTATGAGTAGTATTTTTCCACAGATCCTTAAGGTGACTTACCAAATGAGATTTTAAAAATATACCCTAGTTCTTAACACCATTTGTAGCCCCTGAACTCAGTGCAAGTCATGACTTTGAAGTTTGAAGAAAAATAAGTCCCTTTGCTACCAAGCCCTTTTAACTTAATTAATAGTCTCGTTCTTCCAAAACCGATACACATTTCCAAGGGTTGCTCAATCAATCAAACAAAAGGAGAATTAAGCTAAATGGTCAAAATTGTGAATTGCTAAGGAATGCGACCATACATCTGCTACTCTGGAATAACTTGTCAACTCTTCGCCAAACGCTCGACTGGATTTCTAGAAGTTTCTGCGCCTTTTCCCTCAACTGCGGCTTGCAACGTATTACTTCACCATGGATCTGGCAATTAAATATTTTGTAAAAAGTTATGACCTGGTATTTATTTATTCCCATTAATAAAGGTTCATAAAATGGTACAAGTATCACTATAGGTGTACGATGATGTTTGGATCTTGGAAAACATCATAGAAAGGGAGGGGGGAAGCCAAGGAAAGTTCAGTTCTTAAGTTTGATTCTTACCTTGTAAAATGCAAAGGAAAAATGAAATATGATTACTAATTTCTTAACTTATAGATTTCTTAGTCCTTATACTAGTATAATAGAAATAAATAAAAGAATGTGAGCAAGTATCAAATGTTCTTCCAAATTTCATCAAAACTTTTCTCCCCAATTATTTCCTTGGCATTTTCGAAGTTCCAAACAGTTCATACCTCATTAATTGTTTTGCTGGTTATTTGTTTCTTTTTGAGACTACAAAGGTTTTAGAATTTTATTTCTATGATAAAGATAGATACCCTGAGCATGTTGAAGAAATATGTACCTTTAAAAACAATCTAATAAGAGCCTGTATGAACTCAAAGTTGCTCATGCATGAAATCTCATGTATAAAATAGTCCAGCAGCAATTCAATGAAGTACAATTCCTGTCTTTCCATCACAACATCTTCCTCGTCGTCAATAAGTTGAAGCACTCGCATTTCCATATCCAGCATTGAAGGAGACAAACTTTTAATATAATTAGTGAATGCTGAAACTGCAACAAGAATCAAGTATACATATAAATAAACAAAATTATAATTCACCTATCATTTTTGGAAAAGTAATATGCATTCTCAAACAATAGTCTATTGACTAAATAAATACTATGTACATACATTATGTCATTATTGATGTCCATTTAGCAAATCAATAAAGTAAAAGCTAGTTAAATGACCAAGTTGTCCTCCCATTTAGCAGTTTTTATTTCACTCATTTCTTTCTTTTAAAACCTGGAAATCAATATGGATATGTTTGCCAACTTATGACAAAATTAATCATCAAATTGACCACAATTGCAGTGTAATGGAATTTGTTTTTAGAACATAGGGAGTAAACATTTAATATAACCACAAAACTTACAATTTTGACTCTCTGCGGATGACTGAAGAACATGCAAGAACTGAGAGACTGGAAAATTTGGTTGTCTGCGGACCTCCTCCTGTTCACCGTCTTGTGAAACCTTCTCCTTGGCAACTTCTTCATTAGGTTTAAATAATATTTCACCAGAGAAAGAGGGAATTGAGGGTAAGAAAAACGGAGCCTTCTCTGGTTTCTTTGGAGGCTCAATAGGTTTGTTTCGCTCCTTTATGATGTCTAAATTGATCAAACTTTGCCACTGACTCTTCGGCAATAGTGATAGTGTTACTAGATCTGGAATTTGCTGGTCAGAAGTCACAAAGTGAGAAGAATCTAGAAACTTCTCTTGAGTCTTTATTACAGTGTCTTTCCCATCATTATCTTGGCAAGCTTCTTCTACGGAGGAAATTGAGGGCATCTTAACACGCACAACTTCTTTTCCACTTCCATAAGATTCAAAACTAGAAGCTCCAGAAAACATGGCCTGATTGACCCATAGATATACACCATTTTGATCAGCATGAGTGGTGGCTAGGACATCCATGTTAGGAGATAGAGATAACGCAGTTATCGCTATATCAACTTGTATGGCATCAATCTGTTTAGCTAGGATAACATCCCAAATTCTAAGTGTCCCGTCCATGCTAGATGTCAATAGCAATTTACCGTCCTCGCTGAAGCATACATCTGTAATGCGATCCGCATGGCCCACAAATTTTCGAACCATCCTCAATGCAATAGCATCATACAAACGGATCACCATGTCATCCGCCACAGTTGCCAAAAGACCATTACATCGATGGTAAACAATCTTAATTAGAGAGCAACCTATGTCCAATCTAGACTTCAACCTCCTTCCTTTAAAGCCCCAGATTTTCACATCACCCTGATATCCCGCGCTTATCATGAGGGTATTTGTAGAATCACAAGCTATGCCGATAACCTCTCCATCATGGGCATATCCATTTCTTCCTTGTGAATTGCAGTCACTGTAACTGCCACGGCTGATTCCAGATTGAAGGTTAAACCGCTCGATCCAACCGCCCAATGTCCCTAAAACTGCAAAATTTCCACATGCACTTATTGTGCACGATTTGACCGGTGTTGGATTTGCTGGACATGGGCGAAGGATATGCTCACCAAGAACGAAATTTTGAAGCCTCCAAACATATGCTTGAGTGGTGTCCATGTGACACGTAACAACATTGCACCAATCGCGTTCCCTAATTTCAGCAACGTCAAATGCAAGAACAGGCTTTAACTTTATCTCTTCTTCCTTCAATTTGAATTTCTTTGCTCTTTTAGCCACATGTCGTTGAGAAAGCTCTCTACTCTGCTGGTCCTGAATAACAGAGAAGAGGCGGAAGGCACGATCTTGACCAGCGGATAAAATGTGTCTCCCATTGGCGTAGTACTTGATACATAAAGGGGGTGCACTGTGACCACTTCTGAATCGTAGTAAACGGGGGTCACCGTCAGTTGTGTCAAAAATCCACATTTTTATTGAATTGTCAGAAGATGAGCTCATAAGCACAGGCTCATTAGCAAAGAAATGAAGTGAGACTACAGTTGAATCGTGGGCCTCTCTAATGACAGACTGCAACCTTCTCTTCTCAAGGTTCCATATGCTGATCACACCAGATGAGCTTCCGGATGCTAAAAGGGGCTGCCCATCAGTACTAAAAGATAATGCAGTAACAGAACCCCGGGAAGAATGGGTAAATGTAACTATTTCTTCATCATAACGAAGGTTATGAATATGAATTTTCCCATCGGCACATCCTACAGCAACAACATCTAGTGC